TGGTTTCATCAATTACTAGTTGTATGTCTTTGGAAAAATTACTTAAACATCCTCTGCCTCAGTTTCCACTTGAGCAAATTGGAGAGAGTGAGCACCCAGCAGAATTATATGAGATAATCTGTGCAGAGAATTTAACATCTCTGGATAGACAGATTGGAACAAACATGGAAAATGCTCATATTGTTATTGCTATTATTACTTTGTTTCCAAATCTAACGGTAGAAACATCAGATCCATCAGAGATATGATTTGAGAAGAAGGCATTTTGCTTCCTATCCGCATCTTCCTAGATGTGAGCCTGGTCAAGTAATTTAACCTCACTATGCTCTCGTTGTGAGGATGTTTAAAATCTTAGTAATAGCAACAGCACAATAATATCAGCCACATCTTTGGTCTTTAGCCATCATCTGACACACCATGGCACAGAGACAAATTTGTGCTCTGTGTTGTGAGTACTGGCCACTTTCTAAGTATTTGATAAATAAGTGCTCTTAATATTATCAGTCAGTCTTCCTGTCTCTTGCCAAGAGGATGCCACTGACAGTCACAAAGACCCAGGGAGCCAGATAACCTGCTTGCATGTGATGTGAGTCACCCACACTACTTTATGGATTTTTTAAAAATTGAGATATAACTAGAAAGCTTTAAAATTCCCTATTCAAGCATGCAGTCCAAATTCCCACCTGTAAACTGGTTATAGAAGATTCACCTAAGAGATAGTGGAAAGTATAGATTCCAGACCTTTCCTCAGGCTCACTGAATCAGTCTCATGCATAGGGGTTTAGGATTTAAAAAGGTGATTTTGCCTGTCAGGGAGTTGGAAATTGTATAGAACATGTTTATATGACACTAATCTGTGTTCCTTCTCAACAGCATTGTTCTATAATGATATCCCTCCCCCCCACCGCCTCTGTGGTATATGCATATGTTTGTGTGGGTATGTGCACATGGATGTGGGTGAGTCTGGAGGTGACAAGTTGATGCTGGGTATTTTCTTAAACTGCTCTTCCTCTTGTTTTTGAGAGAGTCTCAGTGAACCTGGATCTCAGATCCAGCAAGGCTGGCTGAAGTCCGTCTTTGCCCCTGCAGCACCAGGATTAGACGTGTGCCACACTGTGCCTGGCTGGCTGGCTGTGACATGAATGCTAGGGGTCTGAACTCAGGTCCTCCCTTTACCAACTATGTCATCTCCTCAGCTCCCGAATATCCCTTTTCAAGTGTCTAAGTAAGGTCTTCTTTCTCTCCTCTTCGCTTCTTTGTCCTCCTCCTCCTCTTCCTCCTCCCTTCCCTTCTTCTTCTTCCTCTTCCCTTCTTCTTCCTCCTTCCTTCTTCTTCCTCCTTCTTTTTCCTCCTCCTTCTTCCTCTTCTTCTTCTTCCTCTTCTTCTTCTTCCTCTTCTTCTTCTTCCTCTTCTTCCTCCTCTCCCTCTTCCTCTCCCTCTCCCTCTCCCTCTCCCTCTCCCTCTCCCTCT